CATAAGTTATCTCCCTTGAACTGTCAATTTTGTATATTAATATTTTAGTGCTGGGTATCGTCAATCACGCCACGATAAGATACATATCGTGATATTGAATAATGGGATAAAAATTAATATTTTATCTTTAAGGTTTCTATATATATATTAATTCATAACTTTTATTACTGTGGCATTTGGTAATATAGCTGATAGACGTGGTTAGCACCCTCTGTCGAGTTTAAAAATTGTTATAGCATAAACAAACTTATAAAAATCCCCACTTTTTATGGAATGAAAGGTATCGTCAGGAACGATACACAACTTCCCGCTTATTATTACTCACATGAAGAATTAGACAAACTTTGTTCCCATTTAGTAATATGTCAAAGTTTGGTTTGATTATGCTAATCATCACCTATCCAAATATTTATATCGGGTTAGAATCTGTTTTGTTGTTTTAGGTCATAAGGAACATTGCAGCCCTGTGTATATTTTCTATTGTGTTATTGATCCGTACTGTGTCATACAAACAACGTTCAAATGGAAGTTTGCGCCAATAAAGTTTTTCTAATATCCACAAAAATTATTTGATTAATATTTACAGAACTTTAAGGGTCTGTTATCACTCATAATGTAGACGTATGGCTAACTCACTGGGGTTACCTCAGATTAACACGAATCTTTAACGTTTTCTCAGCTTTATTAATATCTAGCATTAAAAACACCCTGTAATAATAATATATACAATTAATAATAATACAACATAATTTAGACATACAGAACATTATTATTACAATAAACTTGAAAATCAAAACACTATGCACATAATTAATAACAAACCTTATCAATATATATATAAAGATACAATGATTGGATAATAGTAAAATTATACTAACCCAAAGATGGGGTGTTTACTTAAGCTGAATACTATTAGAGATGTAACTTAGTTCTGTAAATTAAATGATAATTATATGATAAGTTAAAATGAAACGTTTTAATTGAACTGCATGATGTTATATATAAGTAAAACATTATCTCAATTACTCTGCTTGCAAATACAAATATAGTCACCCAAATATTACAATTACCCAAGATATTAACCCAAAACACACATACCTGAAGAAAGTTGCTCCAAAGATGAATAACTATAGATAGAATGAAGAAAACAGAGCTGCACTGTTCCTAAAGACTAAAACAAACCACTCTGTTTGGTATCTAAGGTCCAAGTGAGGCTATAGAGAGCAAAAGTGATGAAACTCACTGGCCTAAAGACAGTTCAGCCATTGTCCTGTGAGACCAGTTAAAGTTAAAGAGATAAGAGAGAGTAATAGTCAATATTAGTAAGGCCAATGTTTAGTAATTATGTGCTTTTAAAACTTACAGATGCATTATAAAACCAAACAACAATTTAATAAAATACCAAGTTTGTTTTAAAATGCACCCTATCACAGACGAAAAGTTTACTGATAACATCATAACCGATATAACGTTTGCACTCCGTCGGTTAACCAATCGACTGCTATAAGTTTGAAGACAAGCTGAGCTCTGTACTATTGTTAATGAAAGAGTTGAAAGAAAAAAAAAGAGAGAAATAGAAGTAGGTGGCCAGAACATATAAAATGTCCCAATTATCTATTTAAAAGGTCATTATTCGTTATCATTTGGAGATTCTGTTCAACTGCAATATTATCGTGGAAATAATTTAGTAAAACTGTTAATTTGGCTTTTATTTGATAAATTCTTGACCTATAAATGAAAAATTTTGCATGTAAAAGAAGCCATTACTTCTAAGGAATGAGGGCCAACCATAATAGTTTCTAAAGTTCAAATAGAATATTGTATTATCATTAATAGTTTTCCTCAGAAATTTAACGAAAGCACAGTCGAAGAAGAGATGTTGTAAAGTTTCAGGTCGATGTTGGCAAAAAGAGCATAAATCTGATGAAAAACGTGTATAAGGAGGTGACGGATAGTCGAAATGCTTTGTCATATTTAAATGCCCTTTAATGGTTCAATTGGAAAGTATCAATGCATTTTCTAGAATTTTCATTTAATACAAAAACTGTCAAAAATCAGTTATCCCCTATTTCTACATAAATCTTGGGTTTATTTGGTGAACCTATTATAAAAGAATATTCGCACTGGGTCAACGACATTATTTTGGTTCAATTGTGACGCAAATAACTTACATTTAATGAATACACAGACGATAATTATATTTCACTAGATACCATATTCACTTAAAACTTTTAAACAAATAAATGACGATAAAAAAAGGGACTATTCAAATAGAAATCGCGTTAAAACCGTCGATGCGGTTCATATTCATGATGAGGGAAACAGATTAAATGGTAAAAAATGAAAAGGAAAATTCCATTTTGAAGCATTTCCATTATGGAAAAGGATATAACAGCTTTTTATAAAAATAAGTGCAAAAGTGCATTTTGGTTAAATCATTTGATGGACATATACAAAGAAATCAGTAATGTGTACAAAATAGTACGAATGTTCCAGGCACGCAAAGTCTACTAGATTTACATTTTTATTTTATTAATAACCATAATTATAAGATTGTTTCATAAGATTTTTGAGTCCTCAAAATGTTTGAAAACGACTGTTCGTGATA